AGCGGCCCCGCGGCCTCGGGCGACGCCAGCCCGGCCACGTCGTGGCCCGCGAAGGGCGGCCCCAGCTCGGCCTTGCAGGCGAAGCGCAGGTACTGCTCGAACTCGCTGCGGTCCACCTCGCCCAGCAGCTCCTCCTGCGGCAAGTGCTCCAGCGACTCCCGGCACGCCGCGGCTTCGGGCGGCGGGGACGGCTGCGCGCCCAGCGCCACGGGCACGGGCACGGGAGCGGGTGGGCCGCGGCCCGGGCACAGCTGCCCGTAGTAGTGCGGCGGCGCCGGGCAGCCCAGCAGCCCCTGCAGCGGGCCGCCCGGCCCCAGCTCGCCGGCAGCGGGGTGCGGGTGCTGATGCTGGTGGTGCCGCCGCAGCGCCGCCCCCGCGGGGCTCTCGCCCGCTCCCACCGCCGAGAAGTCTCCCGCCGCAGCCGCCGCCGGGCCGTAGCCGACGTAGGGCCCTGGCGCGCACTCGTCGTGCGGCCCCGGCGCGAAGAACGGCGCCTCGCCGTGCGCCGCGTCCAGCGGGGACGGGTCCGGCGTGGGAAGCCCGAAGCCGTCGAAGGCGGCGCCCAGCGGCGGGCAGTCCCGATAGCGCCCCGGCCCCGCCGCGTAGCCGCGCTCCGCGTAGGGCAGCGCCAGGCTCTCGGCGCATGTCCCGATGCCGCCTCCGTCGGAGCCCAACGCCGGCGGCGCCGCCTCGGCCGCGCCGTGCTGCGGGAAGCCGCTCTCCGCACGCTTCAGGCGCTTCACCTGCTTCCGCCGCCGCGGCCGGTACTTGTAGTTGGGATGGTCCTGCATGTGCTGCACCCGCAGACGCTCCGCCTCCTCCACGAACGGCCGCTTCTCCGCCAGCGACAGCGCCTTCCACGATTTACCTGCGCGCACAGCACCGTCACCGCGGCCGCCCGAAGCCCGGCCCCGGCCCCGCGCCCTCCCCCCGGCCCTCGGCCCCGGCGCTCACCCAGCATCTTGCTGAGCTCGGCGTTGTGCAGGTCCGGGTTCTGCTGCGCCAGCCGCTTGCGCTCGTCCTTCGCCCACACCATGAAGGCGTTCATGGGGCGCCGGATCCGCGCCTCGCCCTTGCCGCGCCCGCCCGTCGTGCCCGCCTCGCCCTTCGCCTTGGCCTCGCCCGGCGGGCTCAGCGCCTCCGCCCAGGGGCACGGGCCCAGGGCCGGCATCATGGCGGGCAGCGCGCCCCGGCCCTGCGCCTGCTCCTCGCTGCTGGCGTAGCCCGCATCGGGGCTGCTCATCGCGGGGCGCCCGGGCCCCGACGGCTGCAAACAGACAGACGGGCGCGCCGCTCGCTGCCCGCTGGCGGCGGCCGGCTCCCGCCCGGCTCTATTTGAGCAGCGGCGCGGCCAATGGGGCCGCGGGGGCGGGCGCGGCGCGGGGCGCTGCCGGCGATTCCGCGGGGCGGCCCCGGGGCTCCCGCCGGCACCTGAGCCGC